TGATAAAATTTAGTATTTAGGCTCTGCCCTTTAAATTTTATTACAAGGTGCTGAAAAAGTACTTAAGATAATGGAACAGTGGTTGTACGTGCCGTAGGTGCTCATAGTGAAATGTGGTATAGGTGCCGAACAGGTGCTGGTAGATGCTGTAGGTGCTGGTAGGTGCCGAACAGGTGCCAGGTGCTGAGGTGCTGGGTGCCTGCACTTTCCCCCTTGAGTATTGTGCGCCACGCCAGTTGTCATAGAGTTGATAGGACTTTTGAAGAGCTTCAAAATGGTACAAAAACATGCAAGAAAAAACACTGGCCCGATAATAAAATCCTTATCACATTGTTGAGAGTGTCACGATTTTGAGCTTTTTTCCAGCAGAAATGAGCCGATTTCACTTGAAAAATGATAATTTATGTTAAAAATAATAATAGGATATTCTGAATCAGCATAAAAAACTGAGTAGATCCAACTCAGTTTCGATCTTTTGGCGGACTTTTATTTTTTTCGAAAAATTCGCCCTCACCTCCCCCCTCCACAGGTACAGGCCAAAAAATGAATTTCATGAAAACTCCTTTTATTGTTTCGTGATATGTAATTCAGCTCCCAAATGTCATTTTTGTGTACTCAAAAAGTGAGTACACTCTAGAATCGATCAGTGTGTCCGTCCGTCCAGCCGTTTATACGATAACTTTTGAAAAGAGTCCGATTACGATGAAATTTTTCATACAGTTTAGTCTCAACAATATCTCGATCGAGTTCGAAGATGAGCAGGATCGGCCGAGCCGTTTCTGAGTTATTGCAAAAATACTCATTTTCCCCTACGGCCTCCTATGGAATAATCGTCCTATCCCCACTTTTGTGAAAGACTTTCCCAATCATAGTCAAATAAAATCCCAACTATTATATACCATTCGATAGAGAATTTCAAGAGCTACAAAATCGTATATAAAACATTAAGAAACAAAAAGACTGGCTCACCTATTGGAAAGGTAAATAAATGGAAATCAATTCTGTTCTTGTGCACACTCTAATTGATATCACTTGCCTCGAAGCCCCATTGGTTGAGCACAGACGAATAGAAATCAAGTCATAGGAAAAACGACTTTCTTGGAGTAAATCGAGGCAGAGGGTTCAAAACTAGGCTTTATTCGTCTCCAAATCCTATTATTTTAGCAGTAGCCTATAAAAACAAGGGGGTGTGGGTGTGGATGTGGGTTTCAGTGTACGTGTTATTTTGATGAACACTACTGCTGCCGCAGTCACACTCACCAACACCTACACACCCACACCTACCCACACTCACCCACATCCACAACAACACCCTCTGTTACACTATTATAGAAAAATAAAGAAAAAGAATAGGCAAAGAAATGAATAACAAGAACAACATTACGAGTAACATCAACTGAAGAAGGGGAAAGATATCTCCGAAACGTCTTAATTTTAATCTTAATAAATACCTTTATTATAAGTATAAAATATTAATAAAAATAAATATATTTAATATTTAATAAAATATAATTATATGAATTTATTCTATACAACCTATTTTAATTAATAAATTAATAAATCACAATATACAACTATAAGAACAGGAAGAGATTCTTTAAAAATTAGTTCAAAATGTAGTTTCTATAATGATAATATAGAAAAAAATACACGGCTTTATATTTTTACTACATGTTCGGTCATATTTTTCATTTATTAGTTTTCTATAATGATAATATTGAAAAGAATACATTGTTTTTCTTAGTTTCTACTGTATTTTTCGGCATTTATTTTTATCTATAAATTTTCTACAATGATAATATAGAAAATCATAGACTGCTTTATTTGTTTTCTAGTATATGCTTAGACATATGGTTTTATTGTTTTGTTTATGAGTATTGGATTGCAGTGTGAATGTGTTTCTGATTTGCCCTAGTAGAAAATGCAGGAAAGGTCCCAAAGCATCGGAAACCTTGACTGAGTTTTCGGGACCATCAGCTCATTTGATGACTTTTGAGGGATTCTGATAAGTTTCTGAGAGCTCTGAAACCCTTCTTCGGAAACCTGTAAAGGGTTTCATGTAGTAACAAATTCGGAAACCTTCTACAGGATGCCGAGAAAACAGATTCTTTTCTAGAGTGTTGTTGATTACATTTTCTTTGTGAACCATTTCTTCAATAGAACAGAAAACCTTCAAGACCAATCTGTGAATGATTGAGACATTTGTTGTTTTCTGGCTAGACCGAGGTAATTGTTATCTATTGCAGAAAAGAATGTGGCATGAATATCGTTTAAGAAACTTTTGTAACGCTAATCACTATAAGCTGACGTCTTCCAACATGAAAAAGCCTTTGATGAAGCAAGTAAAGTCGCGATAAAAAGATGAATCCTTCGTTTTTTATCAAGAGAATTTCAAAAGACTTTCTGAAAAAACGTTGTTTTTAACACTGATGGAGCAATTTCAAAATCATCTCGACGTGCCCGCTCGATGATCTGAAGATTTGTCCATAATTTAATTTACTCAGAAAAATATGATATACACTACTCTCAAAAAACGCGTGACACTGAACTTGCTAGGGTTCTAGATTTCGGTACCATTTTCTGATCTTTTTAAGCTTCAGTCCAAATGTCTAGAAAAGTTTAGAAAATGGTACCGAAATATAGAATCCTCAAAGGTTTAGTAGAACGCCTTGTTTTTTAGAGAGTACGAAACTATTCACTAGATATTCACTATGTTGGTTAACACCCAAAAAGCGAACAGATCTTCCAAAAATGCTTCTAATATATTGGTCACCTCACATGAAAGAACATATGAATTGAAAAATTGTAAATCGCTTTAACTGGATTGCTGAACTTCTTACTTTAAAAGAAAAGACATTTAATACTATCATCAAAAAAATTTAATCCAATTGATTATATTAGAGTATAGACATTCAAATTTTTTGTCTCACAGATGTTTATGACTCGTTTCGTTGATACTGAACAGCTAGTTTTAGATTTTCTTGTGAACGTTCAGAATTCAAAACAAAGAGTGTCACTTGTGTTGAACAAATAACTTATCATCTATTTAATGCTGACAAAAATTTTGAACAATTCGAAGTCTTACATACATATCAAAGGTTAGAATCTGTGAAAAGTTTTTCATTAAAAGACTAAATAAGCAAGCTTTTTAAATGAAATTTTCAGTATTTACTTAGCACATTGTTAGCAGAAGAAAAAATGAAGAAAAACATGTTCAAGATATTTTGCTTTATCTGTCACATTTATTTAATAATAAGGAATTTATTCAATAAAAATTGATGATAGTCAGCTAGATAATAGCTTTTCCTAGAAGAATCCTGTCGAGAATTTAGCATGAAGTATTTGTGAGAGAAGAATCAGTAAATTTGTTTTTTCAGTAGCATAGATCATACAGGTTATTAGAGTTTGCATACTTAATTTCTTTTCTGGAAAAAAAAAGGATAGCATGAACGATCTAAGAAAAGAGTCTATTTTTTTTCTTTTTAATTTTGTTATTTTAGAACATTCCCTACTTTGATGCAGGTACGACGGGACAGCTGCACACAAAACTGTTTCAGTATGTGTTCGTATGCATTCACGATGCACCCATACAATAGTTTTTTCTCATAGAAATGTCGATATAATTGAAAAAGGCATCAGCTTCAATCTCTCGCTTATGCTTGATGTGTCTCTGTCTGCTTTATTCGGCATTATCGCAACTTTCATTATCAATTGGAAATTGACTTTAATCATGATGTTCTTTTTACCATTGATCATCGGCGGTTCTTATTTTTTTTCTAAAGTATGTACTTACGTTTCGCATCGCTTTAGTTACTATGATTTATAACAGTTAATCGTTCGCGAAACACAAAATGAATTGAACACATATTCGAGAGCAGGAGAAATTGCCCAGGAAGTATTCAGCTCTATTCGTACTGTGTTTGCATTCAATGGTAGCGAGTTTGAAAGAAAACGGTAAGTCGATATGCACAATCTCAACTTATCTCGAGCCCTCTCATGAATGATACTATATCTATTGGTCATAGATATGAAAAAGAGCTGATCGCGACACAATCGAGTAGTGTACGCAAAAGTGTGGCGTTCGGTCTTTACCTGGGTTGGAATTATTTCATAATCTATATAATCTATGCAACTGGTTTCATTTTTGGTCTATTATTCATGCATCATGTAGGACGTCATGAAAACACTATAAGTGATGTCATTGTCGTAAGTTATTCACTCTTGGGTTTATAATAAACTAACTATCTGATGCTATTGACCGTAAACAGGTAGTGACCGTCTTTGGACAAAGTATCAGTTCTATCTGCTTAGTTGGGCCATGTTTGCAGGCATTTTCAGAAGCCCAAGCTGCAGCAATTGAAACATTTCGCATCATCGATGAGGTAAAAATGAATGTGGGACAATTTTTGTTGTTGAATGCATTCTTGTTTACTTCACATAATTTAGGTATTCGAGACAAATATCAATGAAGACGAGATATGGGACGCTAAGGGATCAGATCAAGAAGATATCGATATTAACGGTGACATTAAATTTAATGAAGTGAATTTCGCCTATCCGGTTCGATCAGATGTACCAATTTTAAAAAACCTATCGCTAGTAGCTCGTGTTGGTGAAACGACTGCGTTAGTAGGCTCAAGTGGTTGTGGTGAGTCACATACAAAGAATATATATGTCGAAAGGTTCATTGTGTCTAAAAATTATCAGGAAAGAGTACGTGCATATCACTCTTATTTCGGTTTTATGAAGCTTCCTCAGGTAGCATCACGATCAACGGTCGATCTATCTCTCATTACAATCTCAAGAAACTTCGACAACACATTGGAATCGTCAGTCAAGAACCTGTAAGTTGTTTTCTCCCCAATCCTCTCTCAATGTAATGATTCGAGTAGATTTTGTTTGCAACGAGTATCTACGAGAATATTCGTTATGGGAAGGAAAACGCGACGAGAGCTGAAATTGAAGAAGCAGCAAAACAAGCTAATGCACATAATTTTATCATGCAACTACCAAATGTTTCTAACAGAAAATTATATTTCTATATGTTTCTGATTGTTTATCTATTTTCTTGTATAGAAATATGAGACACTAGTTGGGGAACGTGGTATTCAATTAAGTGGTGGCGAAAAGCAGCGAGTAGCATTAGCTCGTGCTCTTGTTAAGCGTCCTAGTATCTTACTGTTAGATGAAGCAACGAGTGCACTTGATAATGCCAGTGAAAAAATTGTTCAAGCAGCACTACATCGGGCATGCCAAGGTTGAAGCGTTTTATATTCTGTTTTTTTTGTATTATATATACATCTTAATAGGTCGTACAACTATTGTCATTGCTCATCGTTTGACGACAATTCAAAATGCTCATAGGATTTATGTACTAGATAAAGGATGTGTGATTGAGCAAGGCACACACACTACGTTAATGGAACAAGAAGGAGGTCGATATCAAGAAATGATTAAATCTCAGTTGACACAGGAACCAAACGATGATAGTGAAATAGAAATAAGCAGAGAAGAAATCGAAAAAGAAAGACATTCAAGTCTGTAATTGTTCTTGAAGATATACCTGTTAAGACTAATACAACTTTGTGATGACATAGGTGAACGCTCTTATCTTCTTGGCGATAATAAAAATACCTCTGAAAACAAAGTATGTATCGGAATACAGTAGCTTTAAAACATTATCTCAATTGCTTTACTACTTCCAGGCGAAAAAAATACCAAAACGTGGAAAAGTCATCCTTTTCAGACTGTTGTCTATGAACAGTCCCGAATGGGTCACTATTCTTATTGGTTTTATAGCATGTATTTTTGCTGGGGTGACTATACCAGTTTTTGCCATTTTACTTCTAAAGCTAGTCATGGTAATTCGCTTTGTTTTGTTGCAATGGATTTTGTAAAATAATCACAACACATCTGTTTCACTTAGTCATTCAACAGCTGCTCTTATTCTACGCAAGTACGCAACGTGCTCATTTATGGCTTTGCTACTGTAGTGCTAGGTATTGGCACAATGGTCATTCGCTTTTTTCAAGTAAGAATAGATAGAATAAAATTTATCTATCTTTGCCTTCTACATTTGAATAGTACCGAAGCTTCGGTGTAGCCGGTTCAATGTTGACCTATCGTATTCGTGCTAAAGCGTTTGCATGTTTTCTTCGTCAAGAAGTTGCTTATTTTGATCGAGAAGAAAATAATTCTAGTTCTATTTGCGCCCGTCTCTCATCTGATGCATTGGCAGTTCAACAAATGACTGGAATACGATTAGGAATCATCTTTGAAACGATTGCCATGATGTCTTTTGCTTTTATTTTTGGTGCATGTTTTAGTTGGCAGATAACGCTGATTGTCTCTGCACTCCTTGTATTTTCTTTTTTTTTCACATATATTGCCATCACCACTCAAGCACGAATGGTTAAAAAATGTGAGTTGTTGTTAGCACAGACAAGTTTGGTAAGATCAAGTTCTTGTTAATCAACTGCTACACATTAATGAACTCTATCAAGTGTTGGATGCTCTACTAATTTCATATTTAACAAAGCACGTATCATCAATGTAGACTTCTCTTTTTATTAATAGCTTGCTGGTGAAGTCATTTACAATATGCGTACAGTAAAACACTTGGCAATTGAGAAAACAATGTTAGAACAATTTTCCAAACTGATGTGGCAATCGTTTCAGTAATTTCTTGAATTTCTTTGATCTTTATCTTCCGCAATGATCCTTTTTTTTAGACTTACTCGAAATTATTCGATACTAATAGGGTTTTCAAATTCGTGTGTTTGGCCATCTATTCCGCTTATTATAGCAGCTATCTATTGGCGTTCTATCGTCTTAAATGAGAATGACAAAATAAAAGTGGAGAACATAATCTTGTAGTAGCGAATGATCCTACAATTTATAGAAAAATATAATCATATTTACGATTGTTTCAGGGTCTCCGCTTTCGGTACTTTTGCCATGCTAGCCATTCGTAATGCATCGAGTCTGTGAGTAGTCAATACTATCTTTACATTCTTCAATGAGCACTGTTCAGGTTTAATTATGTGGGTTCTTTACTGTCAGCTACTCAAAGTTTCTTTGATTTATTTGATCGTATACCAACAATTGATAGCAGTTCAACAACAGGTCAAAAACTAGTAAGTAAACATACTATTAAAATACCTTGCTGAATAGCCCAGGCAGACAATTAACGGTCAAAACTGCGTTTAAACTCGTTTATCAAGCGTTTAAAGCGTTTTCACGCGTTTAAACGTGTTTATAGGCGAAATTCTTACTCTACACGCGTTTTCACAGTTTTTTTTCAAGCATATCAGCCAAAATCGTTAAAAACGCCCCAATTCCACGTTTTTTTCGAAAAAAACACGTTTTAACCAATTTTTTTCGTTTTGCTTTGGTTATTAAGGGAAAAATCAAAACTACAAAAATCATATTATTATTATGTTCTCAGATAGTAATGTGCATCTCACCTTAGTAGTTGTTGGTCTGCAGTAATTTGCACTGCTCACCGGCTACTAATGAGCGGTAAGTGTTTTGTTTAACTATTCTCTGATACTTATACGTGGTCGAAGGTATCTAGATCACGGAACATGAAATAGTAAGTAATCAGTCCGGTTACTTTCTAGCATGTATTAAGTGTTACTATTTGACGCCTATTAATAACATGTAACTGATAGATAGAACCTGCATATCTTACTAATAAAAAGTAAAAGCTCGGGTGCGATATTGATGGTAAATGGAATTTATCATTAATATTAATATATATCAATATGTCATATTGACTAAATATATGATTTCTTCTTACTTAGATTATCTGATAACCATAATCTTCTGTATTTCTCTTTTATAAGTGCAAGTATGTATGAGTAATAAGCATAATCAAACAAGGTAAATCAGTTAGTCTGTTCTCGTATAGCTTATAATTATAAAATGAGTTAGAGTTTAGCTGTTTCAATAAAAGTTTCAATAATTAACTATTTTATATTTTATCTACTTCTTTTCGTCAGTTAGAAACAGAGATCATCATTCATCCACATTTTAAAGAAATTTTTCTCGTTCTGTCTTTTCTTTCCGTCCAGTACACGGAGAAAGAAAAAAAAACATTATTCTTTTATCACTCTCTCGTCCGATTGTTAGCCTGTTCTTTTCATTTTGACTTCATTTGCGTTCTGTTTCGTTCACAAAGTAGTTGCCTAACTGAGCAGGTCATTTAACTTCTAATTTATACCAAGAATTAATGCTAGATTCACTACATGCGATGCAGATGCTTTTTGTGCATAAGACTGAAGATGTTCGATTAACATAAGTCCTTTTCTGCGGAAAATCATTCAGAATAAGAGAAACAATAGGACGCTTATAACATTGTTAACAATTGCCAGTTCCTGTACAAAAATAATTTGATAATCGCTAAGTTAGTGTGAACATAGTATATACGATATGGAAACCCAAAAGATGCGCACGGTGATTCTGAGGGCGCTGGATAAGGGCGTAAAGTGAGAATGAGGGTGGTGAGTTTGAAACGGTCCGCTCTGTTTCAGAACCTTCATCTGTCGTCCCGTGCGCATCTTTCATAGACCCCTAGAGAAAAAATTCATAATGATCCTCGTGCATAGGTGTAACTTAATCAATTTTGGAATCGGCTTAGAACATACTAGAATTATGAGACGTCGTAGTGCATGAGTGTTGCTTCTGGTTATACCACATCTTGAAACTTCGATACTTTAGAATTTGATTCAAATCAAGTTAAATTTATCACTCGAAAGAGAAACGAACATTTTCCTATGATAGTAGTTCCGGTTGTAGTTTTCTAAATACTAGAAACTGGTTAGATAAGTCGCCGTTTGCCTTTTCACCAATGCCTATGCTAGCCGTAATATTTAATATCTATTCACCAATCTATCTCATCCGTCACTTATCTGAAGTATGAATTATGAGTATAAATAATTAAATTTTCTTTCCGCTGATTAACTAATCGATTATCTTCAAATTATAATTAAATTAATGTTAAATTGACATTTATTTATTTCTTGGAAAACAGTGTCGAGAATTTCTTTCTCATCAGTTCGTTTCCTTTTATATTAAGATTAGTTTTACATTTTACTAGTCACTTATTTGCATTTTTTCTTTTTTTCTTTTTGTTTTTTTTCCAATAGCGGAACAGAAGATAAAAATACGTAGGTTCGATCGAAGCGCATTAGTCTTGTCACTCCGTCCCACAATCAGAAAAAAGGAAAATATGCAAACAAGTGAATAGTAAAATGTAAAACTAACCTTAATATAAAAGGAAACGAACCGATGAGAGAGAAATTCTCAGCACTGTTTTCAAATAAATAAATGTCAATTTAACATTAATTTAATTATAATTTGAACATAATCGATTAGTTAATTAGCAGGAAGAAAATTTAATTATTTATAAATTGTTGATCGTTAATAGGCGTTATAATGAAAATTATCTAAACTATTTAAACAGTGCCATTAGTCGTCAAAACGCGTTAAAACAGTTAAAGTTTCAACGATTCCAAGCGTTTAAACGTGTAAAACGTGTTAAAAGACAACTTTCAATAAACTGTTTTAACGCGTTTTTGGCGACTAATGGCACTGTTTAAATAGTTTACATATTGAGGTGTTTAAACACCGTTTTTGCCGTTTTGTTGTCTGCCTGGGAGTGCACTCATGACATATATATCTATATGTAAATGGGATACTTGGTCACCTATTGTTTGAATTCCCTTGCTATTCAACAAATTACATAATCAAATAGGTCTTTTCTGAACTGAAACTTAGTAATGTTTAACAAACATGATATATATATATAGACTGACTTTCGTGGTACGATCGAGTTTGACCATGTTGATTTCTGCTACCCAGCGCGACCACAAGCAATTATTTTGAAAAAGTTTTGTTTATCAATAAAACCCGGTAAGTGAGATTTTGCACTTCAATGCCTTTGAATATCAGTTAATTTCCTGTTCAGGTCAAAATGTAGCGCTTGCTGGTATACATTTATTAATTACTTATTTCTATCGATTGAGTATATTCTGTTGCAATCTAGGTCAATCTGGTTGTGGTAAATCAACAATTATTCAGCTCTTACAGCGTTTCTATGATGTATCGCATGGTCAAGTGGTGAGTCATATATTGTATTTGATGCAACTATTCGAATACTAATTTTCTCAATGCAATATAGCGCCTTGATGGTGTTGATATTAGAGAACTTAATATTAACTCGCTCCGATCTTATTTCGGTCTTGTAAACCAAGAGCCAATATTGTTCGATTTGACAATCGCAGAGAATATAGCTTATGCTAAAGAAAATGTTATCATGGAAACCATTATTGAAGCAGCTAATAAAGCTAATATTCATCAGTTTATTCAGCAACTTCCTCAGGTGAGTAAAAAAAACAGACATTTAACATTTATGATCATATGTATATTGCATCAGGGCTACGAAACGAGAGTTGGTATGAAAGGAAGTTTATTGTCGGGTGGTGAAAAGCAACGTATTGCCATCGCTCGAGCTTTTCTTCAACGACCGAAAGTGTTGCTCTTAGATGAAGCAACCAGTGCCATGGATATAAACAATGAACAAGTACGTTTTATATTTTATTTTTTCTGATAAATGAAGCGTAATTCTTCACAGATTGTGCAAAAATTTCTCGAACAAGCGCGAATAGAAGATCCAAACAGGACAACGCTTACCATTGCTCATCGTATCTCAACGATTCGTTCATGTGACCCTATATGTGTACTTCACGCAGGACATTTGGTAGAAAGTGGTTCTCATGCGGAGTTGATGCAACGGCAAGGAGTCTACTATAGAATCGTGACTTCAAACAATTTCCAAAATTAAAACTCACATTATTATGACTTTTTGAACGAAGATATTACTCGTTACATTTTGAAAAACTTATTTATAAGTCTAATATTGCTTTTTATACAGTAACTATGCAGCGAGAAATGAACAGATTTGCTATTCGAATCAACTGTACTTGAAACCAATATGAATTATACATCGTTGAGCAAAATTCTGGTTTTCTCTTTTCTTTCAAAGATACTGTTCTATGCATAACGAGAACAAGCTCGAGAGGACGCTTGCAATCGTGAATCATGGTAAATCCAAGAGCTGATTCTTAACCTCTATACGGACTATTGTTTCCAATGGCAAAATGTTGCAGACAAGTTTCATGCATTGTTCAATAGAACAGTCTACATTGGACATGCTGGCACATGATGCTTGCAGTTGAAGTACAAGTTTAAGATACTGGAGCACAGTTACTGTGAGAAGCGCAGCAATAAGCTAGAAAGCACACTATTATTTATATAAGGTGTGGGTATAGGTGTGACTATGAAGATGTGAATGTGTCGGGCTGTAGAATTTGTGCGTGTAGGTCTGTCTTGGTGTAGAGTGGGAATGAGGGCGTGGCTGTGGAGAGTGGGGGTGTCTTGGTGTAGAGTGGGAACGAGGACGTGGAGGTGTGGGTGTGGGTGTCGGGTGTGGATGTAGGTGTGGGTTTGGGTGTGAGTATGGGTCTAGGTGTGGATGGGGTGTGGGTGATGCGCGTGTGGGTGTGGGTGTGGGTGCTGTTCTTTTCCTTAGAAATACCCACCCACACCCACACCCACACACGCACACCCACACCCACACCCACCCACACCCACACCCATACCCACCCACACCCTTTTCATATCTTTATCTCATTATCCTTTAACAAATGCATTCATTTCAATCATTTCTTTTTCTATTTTTTTATTACTTACGCGCTCATTAACAAATTGTAGTTGAAGTATTTTTCTTTTTCACAATAAACGAAGATTAACACATTTCTTCTAGTCTAATGGCTTAAGAATAGTGCTCGGTGTGACCATCGTAAACGTGATCCTGACCGAAATTTGATCACGGATAGTCACAGTGTGTGGGTGTGAGTGTGGCTGTGGCTGTGGATGTGGATGTGGATGTGGGGCGGGTGTCGGTGTAGCTGTGGGTGTAGAGTGTGGGCGAAGGTACAGATGAAAACAAGATCTACACCCACACCCACGAATTGTTCGAGATTTCGCACGATATTTTCTAGATGAACCATCATGATTACCGGCTGAAGAAGCTCTCCGATATTTAAATTGGGCCAAAAAATTATAGGGTATGGGTGTGGGTGTGGCTGGTGCACTGGACAAAAATTGGTACGATACCGAACCAAAAAGAGTATCGTGAGCGAAAAAAGGTTTCGCACATAGTACGAAACCTAAAAAGGTTTCGAATTCGTTTCAATTCTCTGAATCATTTTAGGTTCGTACAGACCACTACGACAAACTTAAAAAAGTATCCTGAGTAAATGATAGATCAATTTCAGTCACCCAACGTTTTGTACGAAACATTTTGAGGGTTTCATACTGTCCTCCAAAATGGTTCGGTACGCTGCAAAAGAATTTGTATGATTATAGAACCATTTAGGAAGATAATCCGAAACATTCCAAAGGTTTCGTACAAAACTTTGGGTGACTAAAATTGATTGTCATTGACTCAGGACACTTTTTTAAGTTTTTCGTAGTGGTCTGTACCGAACCTACAATGGTTCAGAGAATTGAAACGAATTCGAAACCCTTTTAGGTTCCGTACTACGTGCGAAACCTTTTTTCGGTTCACGATACTCTTTTTGGTCGGTATCGTACCAATTTTTTTCAGTGTGTGGGTGTCGGGTGTAGGTATGCGTCAGGGGTCCTAATGGGCTGGGCCAAGCCCAGCCCGGCCCAGCCCAGCCCATGGGCCGGAATTTTTTAAATAGAAAACCATGGGCTGGGCCAACCTCAGCACAGCCCGGCGCAGCCCAGCCCATGGGGCGAAATTTTTTTTCTATAAATCGAATTTAATACTTTTATTTGCTACAATATAGCTATATTCGTGAAGATATGAAATGAATCCTTGACGAGTCCAAACAACAAGAAGATATAGTTTCGCCTGAAAATAAAAAACGTAAAGTCCAAGTTTCTATTCTTGAACAATATGAAGATGATGATGATCTGAATTCATGAAAAGTTGAGAATAATAGTTCAGGAAGTGAAGATTATGATTATAATCCGGTGCACACAGATGAATTAGCAAGATATTTAGCTTTTAGAGCTTGACAAATTAAAATTGTCATCAAATCCACTTGAGTTTTTGAAAGAATATCAAGAAATATTTCCTGTTCCATTGAAACTTGCTCTACAAATTCATTGTATACCTGCATCATCATCTGCAGTAGAAAAATGTTTCAGTTCAAGTGGTTTTATTATTAATGAACGTCGAACATCAGTAAGTCCTGATCAACTCTATAATATTATAGTAATTAGGTCAGTAAAAAAACTACCGAATTAAGGGGGCTCCCCTCAGAAAATCCAATTTTTTGGAGACGAGTCGAAATTGAAGTTTTATTATAGGAAGATGCATCGAAGTCTCCTCTTTCAGAATATCTATGGTTTATCGAAAAATAAATTGTTTTTGACGAACTTATGGTATAAAACTTCGCTTCTATCAACAGATTTTTCGAAAAATTTTCACGGCTTTTTTCAAGCTTTTTCGACTTTTTAGGCTGCTTTCTCTTTGCATCAGCATTTCGTAAAGTTTTTTTAAATACTAATTACTAAGAGACTATGAACACTTAATATTAAGATCACATATTTATTGCCTGTCTTGAACACTGATATATAAATCAAGCAATTTTTGGAAAAAATCGATTTCTAATACTTATTTTCCGTTTTTCTCAAAATCAGTTTTTTCGTCATGCAGTTTACGCGGGCAGGTTTTTCTCCATAACGACTCGACATAGAAGTGATCATTTTTTTTTATTATATAGAAGACATGTAGACCTAGGACTTAACTGGCTCCGATTTTTAAATTTCTCTTTTGCTGAAATAAAAAAACTTAGATATATCATTTCTATTAGTACTTTGAATTTGAATATTTTTCGAAAAACGTTTTTAAAAATCAAATAAAGGAAAATTCAAAAATCGGCGCCTGTTAAGTCCTAGCCCTAAGGGTACTCTACAACTTGAAAATCGCTCGGACTTGTTAGCTCGTATCCTTATTGTGAAATCCTTGCCCGCGTAAAGGGTAATGAATTGACTAGAACTTGTGCATTTCTTTGGGATTTGGGGAAAATATTTTAACCATAAGCTATTCTAGTCAAGACTAACATTCTGTGAAACTTTCGTTGAAATCGGATGAAAAATGGCAAAGTTCATTTCTGAGGGGACCCTTAATATGTTGTTTTATATTGTCTTAGTTTCTTTTTGTATATTATATTGATTTATTGATATTTTTCACTTGTAATATAAACTGCGTATTTATGATGCAGCTATTGATATCTTCATTTGTTTTCGTATTAATTATGTGTAGGTATAAAGAAATTAGTGTTTCTTTTTATTTATTTTCTGTTATTTTTATTGACATAACTTCTTTTTTTTATTATTAATTGAAAAAATCAGTTTTGAAATTTAATTTATGAAATAAAAGAATAGTAAGGTCTATTATATATTTTTCAATATGACAAACTAAACTATCTATGCGAACAATTTTAATAACATATCTGGCCCATGGGCGCCCATGGGCTGCGCCGATTTTTGGGGAGAATACCATGGGTGGGCCGGGTTAAAGTTCGATAGCCCATGGGCTGACTTTCTTAGGCCCAGCCCAGCCCATTAGGACCCCTGGTATGCGTCCCACACCTACACCCCACACCCACACCGACACCGACACCCACATCGACACCCACGCCGACCCTCACACACACCCCACACCCCACATCCACGCCCACACCCACACCCACACCCACCCACCCACACCCCACCCCACACCCACCCCAACCCACACCCACACCCTTGAAATCACAACTAGAAAGCTCTTTCAACATAGATTCGGCATGAGTATTTTTAATTTTTCGAGACTTGGTTTTCCAGATGGAATTGAAAACAATTTTTTCTAGCAATTTTGCGTTACCCGTTATACAACATGTTCTATGATTCGACTTCTCTATCAGAGGCGTATACACTAGCCAATCACGGAACACTTAAAAAATTGCAAGATATCCTACGCGATTCTGGTTTCTCAGTTGAACACAGATCAATTGTCGTAACATATTGCATCTTGAATGAAATTCTTGAAGAAGGATGGCCAAAATTCCATAGAATGGAGACAACAAAGTGTAAAAAAACGACGAGAGAATTCATATTGTAACTTGGCTGTCGGAGCTCCGGAACGTTTTTAGAGAATGCCTAACATCTACTTACACGCAAAAATGAACAAGGCGCACTCGAATTCTGTTGAGTATTTGGCATTCATTAAAGACCAAGATAAAAGGTCAAAATAATAGACAAAGCATTTAGCGTAATCACAAGAGATTAAAATGTGAAACACTATGGGTCTGCTTTCATTCTATATGAAGATCCTCCCTATGCTGATCAAGATTCATGAGAAGATCAAAGGAGCAAAAGGCCGAATTGTTTGTCACGGTCTGTGGGGCAGGCCGGGAGGGGGAATGGTTCACTTTTCTTGCTATATAAGTACGTCAACACTAACTTCCAATCGTGTTTCACAAACTGTTGGAATCGAAGAAATATCAAAACAATATTTGTAGTTTTACAATT